AAATTCCAAAGTTAAAAAAAAAATTCCCATGTTATTTAAATGGGAAATAGAAAATTGCGATCCGAGACCTCTAAATCTTCAAATTAAAAGCTCAAATTTTGACGAGGTCTTTGTTTTGACATCCTCTGAAAGAATTTGCCGACCATTTGAAGAAAAAGAAAAAGTCGATTTTTTTGAAACACCCTAATATATATATAGCTAGAGCATTTTCCGCCCGGGGCAAAGAATTATCCATTATACAAATTCCGTAAAATGTATGACTTTTCAATAAATAGGCTTAATTTAACGAAATTCATAAAACTTTATTTGTGGACTATCAAAATTTACGAACGAATATAGAAATTTTACAAAATCATCAAATATGACGTTAACAATTTGAGTCTTCATTATTTACTTTCATGACTAAAAAGTTGCACCTCATGCATTCATATTTCGGTACCTTAGAATGAAAGGGTTCTAAGTGCAGTTGTCATGTTAAGCAAAAGTGGCTTATCTTCAATATTTAATATTGTAGATAAGCGAACATGATCATGTTCGCTTAACAGTTCAGCTGCACTTAGAACCTTGTTATTCTAAGGTACCGATTTGCATTAAAATATTGTGAGCTTGTGACCAAAAAATTAAATTAGAAAGTCGCTGCAAATAGTCTTTTTATTGTTTGAAATTACTACAAAAAGATCTTTCAATCATTTCAGATTTTCCATCAAAAAGAAAGCCGAATAATCCGAGGGGTTAACCACTCCCCGAAATCGTGTCACAAATTCGTCCGAAATCCCCGAAATCACCGAAAATCTTTTCAAAATCACCGAAATCTCCGAAATCGCTTTAAAATCCACGAAATCCACCGAAATCCACCCGAAATCCTTCCGCAGACTCAGATATCTTTCGCAATAATCGAATGTCAAGCGAGGTGTCAATCATAAATCGCATAAAATATATGTCACGGCTAATGTGTTTATAAACAAGCTGTATAGTTTAAAAACTAGCCAAACTGCATTAAATTTCGAATTTCGCCCCCCGCGCCCTCTTCACGGCACGCTACTGGTTTTAGACCAATTCTTATACTGCTAAAAAGTATTTAAAATATTTATTAACTGAATTAGTATTTTGTAATAATTTAAATTATTTTTCTACACCACCAAACATTATCTATAAGTTATAAGCTATAACCTACCTAGGTTATGCCTATACGTGTACACATTAAAAACAACTTACGAATGCATATATGCATATATATAAATTAAAATAATACTTCTATTCGCTTCCATTTACTTTTTATTAATACCGACCGTCCCTCGAATTTTGAAGTATGGGCTCGGTACGCCAATTTTGGTTCATGCGCATCACCCATTTTATTCCGTGGCGCATCCTAAGACGACATGTAGTTCGGGTATTAGAGTTGGGAATCCCAACTCTAATAACGAGTAATTTTTAGGAACGCGTTACTCGTTATCGTTCCAATGTAATAACGTTCCAAAATAACGTTATTAGTAACGTTACCGTCACATTTTAATGAACAAGTTTAGTTAGGATTATATGATTGATGGTATAGTTTTTTGCGTTATTCGTTATCTTTCTCGTTCCTGCTGCTACAACGAATCAGGAATTTCTTATTAAGTTTCTTAATAATTATTAGTTACTATTTAATTTTTATGTTATTAGTTATTATTTATATAATAACATTATTTTTATAATAGTATACCAAAGAAATTGTGTATACCTAATTCTACCGACCATTAAGGTGGTAAATAATTATATTTTTCTACTCCTATTGCAGAATATAACTAATATATGTATATCACTTTTTAATATGGAATGACATATATTCCTTAAACTGTCACAGTTCATTTAAAATAACAGCCAAATTACACCATAGTCAGTAAATTACACCCAAATGGTGGCAAAAGTGTGTTTGTTTGTGAGTGAATTCCGTGAAAAGAAACAAAGCTTGAGATACCTAGACATAACAAATTAGTTTTTTTAATTAGTTACTAAATAACCCTCAGAGTTGAGAATTAGTTTTCTTGTAGTACCTATTTGTCTCACAAAATATTACAGTTTGATATTAGTATGTGCCTTAAGGCAATATAACAATTGTTATATTTCAATCTAAATCCAGTCAATAACAAAGTTACTCAAACAAAAGACATTATACAGTTTAAAGTTATTATACATATGGACATAATTAAGTTAACTAATACCGTTAATTATTTTTTTATAATTAAGTTAGGTAACTTATACCGTTCCATCGATCCGTTGTACAACATCGTTATTAATAACAACATTGTTATTAATTACAACATCGTTATTAATAACAACATTGTTATTAATAACAACATCGTTATTAATAACAACATTGTTATTAATAACAACATCGTTATTAATAACGATATTATACAACGGAACGATGGAACGGTATAAGTTATTCCGTTCCATCGTTATTAATAACGATGTTGTACAACGGAACGGTATAAGTTATAGGAACTCTTAACTGCTACATACAAAATAACTGGTAACGCGTTATTTTAGTTCCAGTAACGTTCCGTTCCGTTCTTGATGAATAACGTTCCAAAATAACGTTATCGAAATAACGACCCACCTCTATCGGGTATACTCCAATAACGTGGCAAAAAATTATCATACGGCCTTAAGTGATAAATTAGTGGTGTGAATTTTGAATTTGCCTTCAGTGTTTAATAAATTAATTTAATAAAATTATAAATAATTACCATTTACATTCAACGGTTAAAATATATGTCCTAGTACGTATGATAGCACATAGTAGGGTTTGAAATTAACAACAAAAAACATCAATCAAATATCCTAATAATTCAAAAATTGCTAGTACTGATAATTCATCAAATATATTTTAACCGTTGTATGTAAATGGTTTTATTTATTATTTTATTATACAAATTTAATATTAATAGAGATAAAAATAAAAACAATGGAAGTTTTTTTTTAAATTATTGCACAAAATGGCATTCTATTAATTACTGTATTATATATGTACATTAATAGCTTTGTAATCTAGAAGTCTCAATAGAAACTATTTTTTATATAAAAATGAAAAAATCGATTTTATTTAAAAAGTTTCCAATGTCCATGTAGGATTTCACCTTTTTTTTGTAAAGTAGCTGCGAAATGGTGGAAAAAAATATACCTATAGGTATATTTTTACTATAGTAAAAAAAAATAGTAAAAAAAAAAATTGAGGTGCAAAGACTTTTTGGTTGAAATTAATTGAGGACCACTCGTTCATACGGGTTGCATGGCAACTAATTGGTTGCTATTCGCAAAATAATTGTCAATGTTGACGTGTCTAATTTTAAAATAAAAATATAAAAAAATACCTATGCGTTTTGGTCAAAAAAATCATACAGAAATTGAAATGGGCAGTTAATTCTAATTTAAAAAAAAATACTCGTGAAATAGTCTTAGCCGAATACCTACCACTCGTGATAAAATATTCCCTGAAAATTTTTTTGATTTTTATTTATTCAAGATTTTTCCTTGGAAATTTTGCTCATGGCATTAATTTAAAACTCGCCTAGCGGCTCGTGGTTTAAAAAATTAATGCCACTTAAGAAATTTCCAACGACTCTGAGTATATTCAACAGCTGTTAGTAGGAGCTAATATAACTTTCGAAAATGCCTACTAATTTACAGACAAATGATGATCCAAATCCACTTAAGTGTACAATTGTGCCTTTAACAATCTTTAACTAAATAATAAGTAAAAAAAAATTGGTATAGGTACCAATGATACCGTACCATACAAATATATTCACCATTTTATTTTTATTTGTTAAATGCATTCAAATAATATAAATATAACGAATAAAATTTATGATTAAATCATAAAACTTATATTTTAAAGGAAAAAAATATTTTATATTTAAAGTATTTATTTCGGTATTTATATTAGACGATTTCTAATAAAACTTCTCAGTGGCAAACAATAATGGTTAATTTTTTACATTTATTTCAAATTTGGTGCGATATAAGAGTATTAACTTATTATTATTAAAAAAATAATAATTATATTTCCAGGCTTCCTGCCCAAGACGATTTCCAACCAATTTTAGTTTTTACTTCGATTAAAAATAAAAAAATGATGTCAATTCAGAGAAAAAAATATAGGTTTAAACTTTAAAGTAAGGAAATAATTTTACTAATAATTTTTCCCGTGAAAAAACTTTGTCTTTCGACTCTGTTTAATTTACGCTCGTGCTTGCCTCCAAAATATTAGTTAAAACACGGAAAAATTAAGATTATAAAAAATGAAACGGTATTTTTGTTGCTTAGTTTATACCAAAAATATATTTTGAAAATGGTCAGTTTGTCAAATATTCGTATAAAATTCATACTATGAATGAATGAGCGTGTAGACGTTCAGAAGTTCAATCCACAAAAACAACCGTTATGCACACATTCAGTAATTTTTGTACTAAACAAATTTCTGATAAAATATTCTAGCCAGCATTTAGCATTTTAATTAATATTAAGCGTAGAAATCGAAAGAGTGCCTACTTACTTGCAAAAGAGGAAATTTAATGACATTTTAATTGCATGTAAAAATATTACACGTTGTGCTATACCAACGCACGAGTTCCTTGAAGACCGAACAATTTGTAATTTGATTTTAATTTCGAGAAATTTTATTGGAACTTGTTTTTATAAAAAAAATTGAAACAAAACAACTTTTTTAAAATAAAGTAATATAAAACCAGCAAATCTTGTTTTGGGTTCCTGCTGGATTTATTAGCCTGACAAATTATTTTTGCCAAAATGTTTAAAAAAATGTTTTTTTCAAGTGGTTCAATGGTTTATTATATAAAAACTGCAATTATAACAAGGATAACATATTATGAAAGTTGTGGCCACCTATCCGGATATTTAAGTAATATGATACACTATATGCATTTTATTATTTTATTAAAGAAATATTATCTTTGTAACAATTTAAATCATAGTAAACAATAGAATACAAAACTTACCTTGACAATATATCATGTTATTAATCCCAAGTAAAGTGATCACTAGCACACAGTAACTCGGTTTAATAAAAGAACACATATTGGTTGAATTCGCACAAAAACACCATTTAGTTGGAGCAACAAAATAGAGCGAGTTCAAATGGTCACAAAACGGGGCACTAGGTTCATGCCGTAGGGAGCAAAATGCAGCGCGAAAACACGTTAAACCTCGTGGTACCGCTTCGGTCTGAACGTACCCACACCAACAGAAGGTACCGCAATATTGACTGAAATGAAAGTTTGCAGCAGGAGACCCGGTGCCCGTGCTCAAGACAGGTGGCGACCAAATGTGACGTCACCTTGATGCTTCTAGGGGTTCACAAATTCTAAACCCCTTGAAGCAGCAAGGTGCAAATCGCAATCTAGTTTTATATTTTATTTATGAGTGGAAATTCGCCAAATGGTCCCTTGATTTTTTACAATTTCGCAAAAATCATTATGGGTGTTAAAATGACAAGCTTCTATGCATCTCTAGATTGTCCACATGGTGGTTTTTCAAAATTCAATTTTTTTGTTGTTTTTTCAACTAAAAAAATTACAGAAATATTTTTCTTAAATTTATTAAGCAAAAACTAATGGATCGAATCACTTACAATTTGCCCTTGGGTTTACTAAAATAATATGGACTTTATTTATTTTGCGAGATTGTCAAAAATCAAGACTCACTCTTATATTTGGATTGTAATTTTTTGAAGTAATGTCTGATAACCAGGAATTCAACGGACAATTTTACATCCATTTGATATAATTATAGGCTTTTTAAATATCCTTTGAGCAAATACAGGATATTTATCTGGGAGGGCCAAACAGGGTAGATATGGGGCCGTCCATAGGTAAATTTAAAGTAAGTTACATATATTTGAGGATTTTAGGTCGATTAAAGTTAGCCTTTATAAGGTCTTTAGCAGTGGCGTGGGGCCCCATATCAAAAATCTGGTAGGGGCCCTTATACAGGAAAAGCTGCTGGCAAAAAAAATTCTGGGTGTCACGCCCAAAGTCTAATTTGGGCAAACAAAAAAACCTTTTTTGGGTATCATTTTTTTGCATTTACCGATTTTTTATAATTTAATAAATAATATATGTATACCTCGATGTATACATAGCTTTTTATGTACAGGCAAATATTAAAATTTGGTCTGGTCTTAGACATTTGCCGTTCTTTAACATCTTTTAAGAGGTTTCTATTTTAAAATAAAGGCAAGCCGTTTGAAATAATTTTAACGCTAATAATTATTTCTTATTTGCTATAAATATAACCTATAATAATAACACGCAAAGAAGACTCAGTATGCGGCGCAGAGCACATAACAATATGCGCAGAATGCGCCGTAGACAACGTAGGTATAGCGGAAAGGTGCGGGCAGAAACAATTCGTTTGACTTCACGACCACCCTGTTCACGACCTCGTTGAAACAGGAGGGTATTCAGAAAAAATTTTAATTTAATAAATCGAAGTATGTATAAACAATTAAATAATAATATTATTTATTTATTTATTGAATTTCATGCCTCAATTTTTTTAACATGTGCGTAATATGTTTTTTGCTTACGCATGTCGAAGCCCCCTAGCCGCCCAAACAGCACCCAGACATCCACTGGATATCCTTAGGACGTCAACTCAGGACATAGAGGACGTCCTACGGATATCCGAATACCACGAATGGACGTCCGTAGGACTTCCAAATTAGACACTTTTGGTTGGCCTTTGGCCGTCCTATTATGGTCTATTAAAGACCGTCCTAGGATCAAATGTGGCCATAATTTGGCTGACAGAAATAAAAAATAAAACACCTACAATTTTTAACTAAACATTTTTATTCACCTAACTACAGCACAAATGTTTGTGGTACAGTCTATTAGTCAAGACAAACCTAATTAAATTACTTACTTGAATTTATTCTCGATTTTATTATACGTCTGGGTACAACCAACTTCTAAGAAAATTTCTATGGAGTCGTTCGGTTCTACCCGAAGAAGACCGATGATTTTAGTTTCAAAACTATACGTTAACGTATAGGTATTATCAGGGCCGGCTCATACACATTTGACGCCCGGGTGCAAGTCAAAATTTGCCGCCCTAGTCTAAAAGAGTTTTTCAAAGTTTTTTACTATACTCGCTTTTATATTAGCATATGCTAATATAAAAGCGAGTATAGTAAAAAACTTTGAAAAACTACCCATATGGGACACAAATAATAAAAGCGAAGTCTTATGCTGTTACGATTTATGTTAATAGAAATTTAGCATTAAAATTTTATTATTATAATAGTATTTTTTTAATGTTTTCATGGCGTTCCCAAGCATTTTTAGAAACAAAAAAAAAATATTATGTTACAGCTTACGACATGACTGAAAAGTGAAACACTTTGTACATAAACAAATATATTAAAATTATAGCTTACAAGTTTTCATCTTAAGCCTAAAATATCATATTCCAATAATAAGAATATGCCAATTATGGTCTATTAAAGACCGTCCTAGGATCAAATGTGGCCATAATTTGGCTGACAGAAATAAAAAATAAAACACCTACAATTTTTAACTAAACATTTTTATTCACCTAACTACAGCACAAATGTTTGTGGTACAGTCTATTAGTCAAGACAAACCTAATTAAATTACTTACTTGAATTTATTCTCGATTTTATTATACGTCTGGGTACAACCAACTTCTAAGAAAATTTCTATGGAGTCGTTCGGTTCTACCCGAAGAAGACCGATGATTTTAGTTTCAAAACTATACGTTAACGTATAGGTATTATCAGGGCCGGCTCATACACATTTGACGCCCGGGTGCAAGTCAAAATTTGCCGCCCTAGTCTAAAAGAGTTTTTCAAAGTTTTTTACTATACTCGCTTTTATATTAGCATATGCTAATATAAAAGCGAGTATAGTAAAAAACTTTGAAAAACTACCCATATGGGACACAAATAATAAAAGCGAAGTCTTATGCTGTTACGATTTATGTTAATAGAAATTTAGCATTAAAATTTTATTATTATAATAGTATTTTTTTAATGTTTTCATGGCGTTCCCAAGCATTTTTAGAAACAAAAAAAAAATATTATGTTACAGCTTACGACATGACTGAAAAGTGAAACACTTTGTACATAAACAAATATATTAAAATTATAGCTTACAAGTTTTCATCTTAAGCCTAAAATATCATATTCCAATAATAAGAATATGCCAATGAACAAATTATGAACTAAATATATATTGGAAACTGAAGACATGAAGTTTTCGACCAACGAGAGAAAATCATCAAAAGTTTCGTATGTGACGCTTCCTCTGATTTTTTACTTTTACTGATTGATACCCGTTTTTCTTTCGAATTTAGTTTCGTTTTGCCGCTCCTCATGCTCTGCCGCCCGGGTGCTTTGAACCCGCTGCACCCGGGTTTAGCCGGCCCTGGGTATTATAATTATAATACCGGTGTTTATATAGGTACATTTAAATAATTTAAACGATTGAAGAACGAATAGATATTATAAACCATATTTAATAATAAACTTCTGTTTTTTTGTAAATGAATCTTTCTTATAATAAGGCTTATCGATTTGTTTGTCTTTCTGTGACCCCCTCAGGCTGTCCCACGAACATCCAAAGAATGCAAAAGAGTAACCTCATAAAAATAGGTGCTTTATATAATTCGTACTTACATGATATTTCTCACAATTTATTACATATCCGAAAATTGCTTGACCTAAAAGTTTAGGCATGATAGCCAACCCACATAGTACAAGATGTCCAAAGGACGTCCAATGGACGCCCTTTGGACATCCTGTGCTGTGTGAAAAGAGACGTCCTATTTAGGTTATTCTCGGCTTAGCCAGGCCGAACGGGTCTGGAACATCCATAGAACGTCAAGTCTAGACCTGGTCCGGCTTAGCCTTATTAGGCGTATTTTGGACGTCCAAAATACGCCTATCCAGGCTAAGCCGGACTGGGTCTAGACTTGACGTCCTATGGATGTCCCAGACCCGTTAGGCCTGGCTAAGCCGAGAATAACCTAAATAGGATGTCCGTGGGCTATCTTGTGCTATCTGGGCGGGGGCCCCGTATTATTGATACGGCTGATACCACGGTAGCTAGGCCCCTGGTCATTAGTTAATTAAAGGCACTTTTTTAAAGGGCCATTATAGAACCTTTACGGTTCTGTTTGCTACGCTTGACTAATTTTATTTGTTTGCGTAAAAAAACTTAATTAACAATTTTTATCCTGGAACATCATTGGAAAATTGTTTCTTTTAAATAATATACTTAAAAAAAATTTAAAAATTAAATTTAATTATGAAAATCTTTTTATTTAAAAACTATTTTTTTGTATTTTTGTATACCTATGCAACTTAAACACTTGCATGAAAAAGTCGCTTTTCAACACTTGTTAAACAAATACCTACCTAAGTATTGTGTATGAATATTTTACTTATAAGTATACCTGTTTATTATATTATTGCAATACATGTATTTTCTTACTTACCTGTTTATTATATATTTGTGATTTTTTTGTACATGTCATGTTTTGATGACAATAAATTTATTATTATTATTATTATTATTAGGTATAATGATAATATTAATTCTAAGAATAATTAAGCTGTAATATATATAATATATTTTTTATGTGATTAAAAATATAACTCTAGGGTTAACACATAAAAATAATTCCTGAATAAAAAATAAAACGGCGCCCCATAAAGAACCGAGATTTTATTTAAAAAAATAATAAATCAAATCAATACATTTTAAAATAAAACAATATACATTGTTAAAATTTTTATTCTAAATTATAACAATGTTTATTGTTTTATTTTAAAATGTGATCTGATTTAAACATTTTTTTAATAAAATCTCCAAGATCTCTCTGAAGGGTAATTCCATTTATTAGCCACCAATGAGTGCACCTCATATACTCTAATTTTATTTCTTTTTTAACTGTAAATAGACATGAACCCAAGAAGTGAAAAAAACTCCCCTTTTCCTTTCTTCCCCTATCACCTATTTATACAGGGCTACGCAAAAGTTACTATGCAGACCTAACTTTAAAAAATTGTACTTTGTTTGCTAATAAAGCTATCGACATTAAACAAACTGTTAATTGTTAAGAAAATATTTCTCTTTTAAACCATATAGGGCACATTTAGTTATTGATGCCCTAAATGGTCTTTGGGAATTTTTTTAAAAATGCAATTTTTTGGCAAAATTGTCTAATTTTATAAATTCATAAATTCTTAGAACAACTTGCCAGCAAAATTTTTTTAATGCAGTTTGTTACCATAGATCTTACTCTATATAAAAGCATTGAAAACATTTTCAAATAATATTGGCTAAGAGTTCAAAAAAAATATAATAAAAATTCATGTTTTCGAAAAATCACTATTTTCAGCCATTTCATGGTTTAAAAAGGCTATGTTTGAGTGAGTCGATTTAAACCAATTTATGCTTATCATCACATGCACTTATTAGCGTCCAATAACCATCAATAAAATTATTGTGTATTTTGCTTTTAACTGGGCTGTGGCTGTATGTACAGCCCAGCTATAAGCAAAATACACAATATGCCCACCTGACTAAAATATGGATTATAATATTATTAATTTTATTATTATAATGTGGAATATATTAATAAAAATCCATAATATTATATTAACCAAATATTTTATAAAAAAACTCGGTAGCAAGACTTGAATTGAGTTCTAATTCGCAAGAGACAATTTTTAAGATTTTGTTTTATTAATTAAAATATTTTTAAAATATTGAAATTTTTACATATTCATAAAAAAAAATTGTGCATAATTTTTTAAAAACAGTTTACCTACACACCAATTTCTGCCATTTAAAAGTGTCAAATTGTTTGAAGTGTCCAAAAATGGATTGTTTCGTTGGAAAATTAATTAATGAAAAATGCCACAAATAGTTATTTATGTATAAAGGCAGTATACTGCTACTTTATAAAGTCGTAATTATTTGCAGAGGCGAAAGCCGAGGCAAATAACCACGTGAGTGATAAAAAATGACCTTAATGCCGAAGTGCATATTAAATTTTATCCAAAATCACACTTTATAATACCTACCAATAATTAATATTGATGATTAAATCAAATTTCATTTGATGATCAAATCAAATTTAGTTTGAATGGTGTCTACGTACCTATACTGTTTGTTACGACAGTTATTATATATTTGCCCGCCGCGGCGATTTTTAAATCTAATTAATAATAAAAAAAAAATAATATAAAAAAAATAAAGTTCTACTTTACTGCCGATTTCTTTTACTTTACTGCCGATTGTTGACTACTTTCGGCAGATTTCGGATAAAAATATTTTTCGCGATTTTCTAAGATTGAATCTTGTACTAAGGAGGAAAACAAGTAATAGAATGGCGAGTGGATGCAACTGTAACCGATATTTGTACGTAGGTATCACAAATTAAAGTATCTATATAATTTTACCAACATTTTTGGTGAAGTCTGCAGCGATCCATTTAAACACCATAAGTCGTTAATTTATTCATCTTAATAGACATTATACACATAAGAAAATTTTCCGATTCATATAACTTTTTAGAGGTAAAAAAATAGTAAATAGGTTTTTTAGGTAATTGTAAAAATTAAGAATATGATTTCTTCAGTTTAATTATATACAGTTAGGTTTAATTCAAATTTAGGATTTAATAAATACCTGTTTTATTTTGTTTAAATATAAAGTTTATGAAAAGTATGTCGTTTAGTCATTTAATTAATTTTTAGTACATTTGATTATGTTTTCTTAATTTAAAAAATAAATAAATGGGTAGTTAATTTTCGACGCCACTGTATGGGGTTTTTATATTTTATATTTTTATTTAGAATGAATTAGAAGTCAATTCAAGGCTGTCAAGTTATTTTAAAGATGTAATACGCTTTTTCGAAATATATGGTTAATAATATATGGTTAATAATATGGATATAGTCACAGGTGCACCATGGACATATACATCCACAGCCCAGCTAAAAGAAAAATACATAATAATTTTATTCATGATTATTGGAGACCAATAAGTGCCTGTGATGATAAGCATAAATTGGTTTAAATCGACTCACTCAAACATAGTCTTTTTAAACCATGAAATGGCTGAAAGTCAGGTGGGCATATTGTTTATTTTGCTTATAGCTGGGCTGTACATACAGCCACAGCCCAGTTAAAAGCAAAATACACAATAATTTTATTAATGGTTATTGGAGGCTAATAAGTGCATGTGATGATAAGCATAAATTGGTTTAAATCGACTCACTCAAACATAGCCTTTTTAAACCATGAAATGGCTGAAAATAGAGATTTTTCGAAAACATGAATTTTTATTATATTTTTTTGAACTCTTAGCCAATATATATTATTTAAAAATGTTTTCATTGCTTTTATATAGAGTAAGATCTATGGTAAGTAAACTACATTAAAAAAATTTTGCTGGCAACACAGCAAACGGAAAATTATAGAGGTGTATAGGATGACGCCACGTTTGAATATCGTTTTCTAAATCTCCCTACGGTATAGAGTTGTATTCGTCAGTCGAGCGTTTCAATACTCTCCACAGTATAGAGGTCGTAATTTCACTTTTGAACTAGTATTAATATAAAAATTATTTTATGCTTAAAAAAAACTATATACAACATGATTGTGATTTTTTTCATTTTATTAAGTAATTAAGCTGTGTTGAATATTTTTCCTAAAGGAATAATTGCCAATGGGCCATTAATTCATTTTTTCGTAGATGCTACAATAACCTGCACTGGTGTGTACTTTTTCATCAACCAGATTTAAATATTACAAAACTAACATATACCAGTGGAGATAGTGCAGGGTCTACCAACAGACCTAATTACTAAATTATTAAAGTTTAATAGCATATCGATCATTTATTCAACATAACCTCTGAAATTTTTAATACAAATAGGTATAGGTACTTTATATAATACATAAATATACTTAACATCATATCATCTGTGCTTTACATACCTGAGTTGTTACGGTAAATAAAAATCAGACAAAGGAACCAAAGAAAGGAACTATTTTCAACAAAATCATATGCAGAAAGGAGAAAATTCAAACTACTTGCATCCATCAAAAGATCAAAACTTCTTGCAATATTACACCCTCTTTTTATATTCTCAGAAATATTGACTAGAACAGTATTAGAGAGACTCCAGTTTCTATAACTTGGTAGAGTAAAGAGAAGTCGAAACCGTTGCGATATTGCATTGGGCTGTTTTTGTATAATTCTCGGGGACATTAACGAAAATCATTGCCAGTAAAATTCGAAAAGCTTGAGTTTCTATGTCTCTGAGGAGAATAGGAATCCGAAGTTGCTGCACCATTGGACTGAACCATTTTTTAATAATTTCTAGAGACATAAACGACTGCACCATTCGACAGGGTCGAGTTTCTATCTCTCTGTTGAATATAGAAAATCAAAATAATGTATCTTGTAAGACACCATTGAGTTTGACTTTAAATATAGTCGTGCATAGGTATAGAGCCGAAAAATATAAAAACAAAGCACGATTCAATACAGTTATGATAAAACTTTAAGATTTGATATTCAAACGCGGAGTCATCCTATACACTTCTATAATTTTTCGTTTGCTGTGAAGTTATTCTAAGAATATATGAATTTATAAAATTAGACAATTTTGCCAAAAAATTGCATTTTTAAAAAAATTCCCAAAGACCATTTAGGGCATCAATAAGTAAATGTGTTCTATATGGTTTAAAAGAGAAATATTTTCTTAACAATTAACAGTTTGTTTAATATAGATAGCTTTATTAGCAAAAAAAGTACATTTTTTTTAAGTTAGGTCTGCATAGTAACTTTTGCGTAGCCCTGTATAAATAGGTGATAGGGGGAGAAAAGAAAAGGGGAGTTTTTTTCACTTCTTGGGTCCATGTCTATTTACAGTTAAAAAAGAAATAAAATTAGAGTATATGAGGTGCACTCATTGGTGGCTAATAAATGGAATTACCCTGAATCTTTATTATATGAATTATAATAAAAAGATTTATTGTATTTTATAAAAAAACAAATTCTTAAAACATTTTGCTTTACGTTGTTTAATCTTTCCCTCGTATATTAATTAAATTGAAACAAGTTACCACACAGTATTTTTCAGCGACTCAATATTTTTAAAAAATTTCGTTGTTTCAAAAATATTACATTTTAGCGTCAAAACAGTGACGTCACTGAGAGTATGTTTCAAAACATTTTTGAATTAAAATATTATTACTGCCATCTGTATTTTTTAAGTAGTACCAATATTTGTGTTTTTAGTTTTCTACTTGGTTAACATTTTTGACATCCGGCGATTTAAATGACAGAAGTTGACGTTTGTTTATTTTTATTATGAAACTCGATAAAGTATTGAATTTACGTAAATTTCCTTAAATTTTGCTAAATATAAAAATGCCCATTCTTTTAATTTGATGAAAAATCTGTAGGGTTTACCGTGGATGTGTTTAATTATGTATATTATTAAAGCTAGCTGACCGGAATATTTTTAATTTTGAATTAATTATTGTTAAAATGGATCCGTAAGTATTACTTTAAACAATTTATTTATAAATTTGGGTCTATGCATTATCCCTATAAAAATAACCTATTTAAGCCGAATTTTTATAAATTTTAGTCTTATTTTATATATGGTTTATTTATGTACTGTAAATACTTTATTTTTTATTAATTAAACTTAAACATTAACAAGTTCCTAAACTATTTTTACACGTGTTTCTATAAAATGTTCTAGGGTTGCTTCTCAGGCTGGTCCTAGCACCGCTTCCGACCCAGAGACTGAGAAAAAAATTCCTGAAGAACCACCACCGTTAAGTCCAAATGCATTAAAATGTGCTGCTGCTGATTGTTTAAATAGTTGGATTTGTTACTTACAAGTAACTAACAACAATCTATTTGCTTTAAATTTTTTTTCTTTTTTTTTTTAATTGTTTTAGATTCTCAATAATATGTGTGCAGCTGGTCTGCGCCTATCGCAATCTTTGGCAGTGCTTGCTTCACACCAAAACACCACTCTTGCAGCGCAGTGCGCTCAGGGTTGGGAAGAACTATCTCGAGCAACTTTTGTTGCCACCAACTCCGTAAAAACTCACATTGCAGCAGCCGTTCAAGATATGAGCATAGGTAGGATACATGTGGAATCTAAAATACTAAAATATTTATTTTTTAAATGCAAAATTTTGTTTAATTTAGTAGATAGGAATAGATAAATCTTGTTTTTGTCCCGTCCACACCTTTCAATTATTAAAATTATCTTTAGTTTTATAAAATATTTCTTGCGTTTTTTTTATTTAATCTATAGCCTAATAAAAGAAGAATATTTTTGACAATTTTAATGTCAAAATATTATACATGGTTTCCCATAACTAATGGACAATACAGCAACTGTAGAAACAGGAGGTCAAAATAGGTCGATTAACAAAAATATTAACAATAGACAAAATGTTAAATATAAACAAGATACAGGGCAATAGTTTTTAAGGGCGAGAAATACAAATTTATCATATTTTTTTATGCTACTCCTAGAGGGCGCTAATGACGCATGTCGAATTGGGTGAATTAACATATTTTTTTACCCCTTGTATTTTTAACACTTTTATGTGAAATAATAAAATATCCATTATTTTTAAATAAAAAATGTTTACTTGTTTGATATCAATATTTTAAGGCGTTATCGAGATATTTTCTTTTAAATTTTGCGATGCTTGTAAAAATTTTTTAAATAATATATTAGTTTTAGTAATAAAAACACTTTAAATTAAAAACAAACAAATAAGAATAAGAATGAAATTTATCAGTTGTTGTAAGTGGCTAGGTACCATTTTACTAAGACTTATTTGTGTTAATCGACCTATTTTGACCTCCTATTTCTACAGTTGCTGTATTGTCCATTAGTTATGGGACACCCTGTATAATAAATTATCTACTTTTTGTTTTATAAAAATCAGTTTTATAATTCATGCGTTTCGCGAGCTTGAAATGGCCGTCTTGCAACTTTTTGATACGATTCGCCGTTCTTGAGTTATTGCGAATAAGAGTATGTATACATACTTATAATCAATAAAGATACAATAACTGCTTCGTAAGAGAAGCAAAGCAGTTGGCTTGGAAATTTTGACAATCAGATTAGAGAAGTGAAACATTTATTTCTCCAACATTACTTTTATTAGTTGATAATTTTTAAATATAATAAATTTAAATTTTTTTTGCTTTTTTAACACACTGAGTCTTGAAATATAATAAACTTAGCCCTAAATCTTGTAGAATCAACCTGTAAATTTAAATTTTTTGAGATTTTTTCTAGGTGAAACCTTTGCGGGAGAAGACGCCCAAAGACAAGTTGAGCACAATCAACAAATAATCGCCGAAAACCTACTGACTTTCGTAAATTTACAGTATCAATTCAGTATTGCTGGATGTGAATGTTTTGGGTCTATGGCTTTGTGTCCCTCCTGCAATACAACACCAGGTCAATATACACATTTTAATAATTCGTTTTATAACAATAAAAATATTGTTACAGGGGGAATTCATAACCCAGACTGCAGCATGGGTATGATGCAACAAGTCTTTGCCAGACTGTATGCCACTGAATCGCGTTCTCAAATGTCCAGTCCTCATTTCGCCGGTGAACGCAGTTCCATGGATAGCCCAAAAAATCAGGACGTTGCCAAAGAAACTGCACGACAGAGTCCTCTAGCGGAAGCCAGAGGATCTTCTCCTTATCAAGAACCGCCTCTTCGGGGACCTAGCCCTATACACGGGTTTTCTGAGAGCATGAGGGGACCTGGAGCATTGGAAACATTAAAAGGTATTAATACTATGTTAAATTGATATTATTCATAAGAATTCTTAACGCTTCAACATTAAAGATGAAGCGTTAAAACCCTAGCAAACCCCTCTTAAAAAGGTCATGTTAACAAAAGTTTTGAAATTAATGTGCGATAAAAAAAATTTTAAAATTTGCTTTGTTCCAATTATGAGTACAGTTCATTTTTTTAATCTGGACTGCGGCAACGTTGCAAATTTAGGGTTTTGTTTTGTAAATACAGTTGTCAAGTTGGTCGCATTAATTAAAACAAACTAAGCTAGTTATAAATCTAATTGTGGTTATGTATAAATTATTGTAGGTTACATTGTGCAGTTCATACTATGTTAAATTGATATTATTCATAAGAATTCTTAACGCTTCAACATTAAATTGAAAGCGTTAAAACCCTAGCAAACCCCTCTTAAAAAGGTCATGTTAACAAAAGTTTTGAAATTAATGTGCGATAAAAATATTTTCAAAATTTGCTTTGTTCCAATTATGAGTTTAGTTCATTTTTTTTTATCTGGACTGCGGCAACGTTGCAAATTTAGGGTTTTGGTTGGTAAATACAGTTGTCAAGTTGGTCGCATTAATTAAAACAAACTAAGCTAGTTATAAATCTAATTGTCACATTATTCTTGTTGTCCGCTGAAGTGACAAGTGTCCTTGAGAGGACAATATGGTGCTCACAGCACAAAATTAAGCTAATCAGTGCCAAAACTCCAAAATCTACATTAGATTTGTGAAGATGCAATAGATTTCCACAAAGGATGGTCGAAATATTAAAGGATTTAATAGTCATGTTCAAACAGCCATGTAGTGCATCGTGGGTTTTTTTTGCTATTTTTTTTGCTCTCTATTTTTATGTATGACTTCCGCTGCGTGTATGGTGATTTCGTTTATGTTTGAGACATTAGTGTATTAGTGTATTAGTGTAATAAAAATGATAAGTGTACTGAGAAGATTTGTTAAGATTGAACTGTAATGCTAAAATAAAAAGATTGATTTATGAACTATGAAGACTGAAGTGATATTGATGGACATTAATTTTGAAAAATAAAACAAATAATCAAGAAGAAAACGAGAAGCTGTAATTTATATATATTATATAATAAAGAAGAAAGGAGAAGCTATAGGTAATCCTAGACTCGCTTACTCCAGTACCTAAAAGAAACGTGATTAAGCTGGCTAATTCCCGGAAGGGAAAGGCCAATCAAACCAGAGAAGAAGAAGAAGAAGAAATCTAATTGTGGTTATGTATAAATTATTGTAGGTTACATTGTGCAGTTGTCAAGTTGAGTTGTCGAAATTCGTAGTTAAAAATGCAATTAATTTGGCTTTGGTGGTGCTTGGATGAGTACAGTGGCGGCTGGTGGATTTTGGGTATACCAATATCTCAGTTATTAGACATGGGACCCAAAGATAATACAGTATTATCTTTGATGGAACCCACACCAAATTTATAATAGTTTATAATGACATTAAATAAACAAGTTCGGCGAAAACAAAATTTAAATTGAAGTTTGCGAAAAAAAGTTAGTTTTTCCTGTTGCCTCACCCGCCTCCCGTCCCCCTATTTGAGATAATTCAATGGTGCAATTTATTATCTACTATAATTTATCGACGAATTTAAAATATTACAGGTTTTATACCATTTTAAATATATTTTTATAATAAAAATATAAATAATAAAAATTTTATTTTAATAAAATAAATAATAAAAATTTAAAATCAAATAAAATCTGTAATATTTGGATTTTTTAAATAAAAAAACTTCAATTTAAATTCTGTTTGCGCCGAACTTGTTTATTTAATGTCATTATAAACTATTATAAAATATTGGTATACATAAAATCCACCAGCCGCCACTGGATGAGTAAAATCATATAAAAAAAGTTGTTAAATATAGGTTGCTTTACGGCCCAGAACGCCTATTCTCGAGTTCAAAGGAGTAGAAATTTGTAATAGAAATGGGCGGAGTTCTCTCGAAAACATCTACAGTCTTGAAACCAGCAAGTGAATATTTTCATGCATTATCGGGCGAATCCACTTCTACTACTGATTTGTAGTAGAATTCAAGATTCCCGAGAAAAAATTTGACATTTTGCGAATATTAATAAAATACTCAACCTAATTTATTTATCGTTTATTCTGTGGTATTAGTATTAGTGTTTATGCTTATGTTCTGTGTGCTTTTAAGTGATTTATTACAATGGATCCGCACAATTTAAATCTAGCGTTTAATATTATCAGAGACTTGCAAGATGCTGAAGAACAAGCAGATGAACCCAACAGAGTTGTTTTAAACCGGAAAATTCCATTTCTTTTATCAGAAATAAAATGTATGAGATATTTTAGAGCTAATTATCTTTGCTTGCTTCACCAGGGCCACTATTGAATGTTATAGCAAGTTCCTGCCATAATGCCTGTGCCTCTTTTTTGTCAATTCTGCAAAATTGTCACTTAAAAGTTGGGGGTAGCTTTTTAAGAAGTCTTATAAAAAAAAATTTTGTCTTGCTGTAACGGACACTTTTCGTTCCATTTTGACTAGTAATAACTAATACACAAAAACTCTTTGAATCTGCAACAAAAAACTATTACATCTAGGTTATTAATCACATTTCAAATGTGACATTAGTCAACTTAAGTTACGCGGGAAATTTAAATTGATTGATTCATTTATTTGGGCAAATACAGTATATAAATATGGCAACATCTTCTCACGGTAATCCGTCGAGAATACGACTTTGACATACCGAGAGAAAATTTCGGGGATGTGAATGTTCGTTCTATTACAGGGAGAGCTCTCCGGCGGATATTTTCTCTCGCAGTCAAGAATAGGGGTCCTGAAGAGAAAGTATTCCTAGCAGATACAGGGTTCCCTCTCACCTGGAAATCCTTGAAAACCTGGAATAGTCAGGGAATCCGTTTAAGTCCAATAAAATCAGGGAAAAGTCAGGGAATTTTGAAAGTCAGCGCAAAAGTCAGGGAATTTGTTAATATTAGGGTAAAAGTCAGGGAAATTTATAAAACGGCTTGTTTTCTGACCCTTTTTCGTTGAAAGTCGCCGTATTGGCAACACTGGTATCGTAAACAATTGTTTTCGTACGGCGCCGCCGTAACGGCGGTAATTATCAAGGATTTTACACGAAAAAATTTTACACACTAAAAAATCGCAAAGCAATGCACCTGATAAACAAACTAACAATTAACAATAATTAAAACAATTGTCATAATTAATTTTAAATTGTTAAAGTTTGTTGTGCATTGCTTTGATGAATATGGTATATTTGTATAAATGTATACCAAAGAATGTTTTTTATGTTTGTACCAAAGAATCTATTTTATGTTAAACTGTTTTTATTAAAATTTTATTTTAATTTTTATTATAATATTTAATTTTTAAATAAATATTAACAAAAATAAACGCTATTTTTGACTTAACATAATTCTTATGGGACACTATTTTGGGAGATAATTGTCTTTATGTCTTTCTTTTATTTATCTGGAATTATAGGGACTTTGGTCAGGGAAAACCTGGAAAAGTCAGGGAATTTTAAATGGTTTTAAAAGAGGGAACCCTGAGATAATAATCTTCGCTTTGAAAAGAATTTATATAAAAGAAATTAAATTTTTTTGTGAACGTAAATGTTGTCCAATGGTGAATAATGTGAAAATAATGTATGATGTAATATTTATAAAACCAAATTCGTTACTTTTTTACTCCAAAAATGTCCATGGCGATGTACTTTTTCTTCCATTGTAGCATTTGGCATAATTTCATCAAAATGAAGTTTTGCCCTCAAAAGGGCTTTTACATTCGAATTCGTTGCTATTATTTTTGGCATAATTATCTTTTTCTACTCCCACTAAGTGACCTTTTAAATACACATTGACAAGTTGTGGCTTTATGGCGCTTTAGTCAACGGCTGATGTTAGCAACAGGTTTTTAGTCACGGGCTGAAGTTGGATTTAAGTTAGTTGGCAGTTGTCAAATGTCATACAATCGTTAAAATAAAGTGCCTTTTTTGTAAAATAATACTAAATGTAAAAATTATTTTATTATTTCAATAAAAAAATACAAAAGTATTAAATAGTTTCTCAACGCCAATATTTGAAAAGTTTATATGAACATTGTACTGACCTTTTAATTTCGCCGGCAGTAAACCATAACTTAAATTCGGGCACGGACTCCACTGTAAAGTGCTCATAAAACATTTTCTTTACTTTCACTGTGAAAAACTGTACATTTTCAAGAAATACATTTCGATTTATAACCTTTATAATATAAAAATTTTACATTTGACGGTGACACGTAGATTCCCCTATTGTTTCATAGATGGCGCTCTATACAAATTTTTGATTTAAATCATTTTAAGATAATAATTTGTCGTAGAAAAAGTATAGTATGCACCTCGTTTATAAACTTTTCTATTAAATTCGTGTATAAAATGGCGTTTATCAAACTTGATACATATTATACTATTTTATTTATAATTGACAAGTAAATTATCAATAATAAATATTATTGTCAATTTCACATTTTCAAATACTAAAAGTCAAACTGGCATAAGCCGAATTTCTTGACAAGCTTGCTCTATTCTGGCACAAAGTTCGTCTTGATTTGTGCGCCTTGTTTTATAAACTTTATTTTTTACCATTCCTCAAAAATAAAAATCGAGGGGTGAAATATCGGGAGACCTCCAATTTTTGGTTCATCCATTGACAAACCATCTAGCTTCAGATACATATCCTGTCGCACATTAAGTGGAAGATTTTCAATTGCATCCCAAAATTCCCCATTGAAAAAGTTAACTAAATAATCAGCATTCAATGATTCATTAAAGAAAAAGGACCAAGGTTTTCTAAAATCCCACACCGTACATTGACTTTCTGAGAATATTGATCTTTACAATTTATAATCCAGTGAGGATTATCCCTGGCCCATTATCTACAGTTTTGAGACGATACCACCCCATTTAATGGTGAATGTAGCCTCATCAGTAAACAATCTTCTTATTCTATTGTAATCACGGGCTCTGTGAACAAGCTCTGGAACGCATAAAAAAGAGTCGTTGGTGAAAACAGTGTTACCAACTCATGCATGGGAGTGTGCAATTAAAATAAAGTGAAATACTTTCCTAAAATACAGATTAATTTTTTCATTTAATGCCAGCTTTTTAGGTTCCTGGGACCACTGTGCGGCGGTAGGTATAACTTAGTGTTCCGACGAAATTGTACTTTTTGAAGGTAGCTGTTGAGACCAATTATCCTTGGTTAAAGTATTTGATTAAAAAAATATATATGAATTTGAATGTTTGCATATTAAAAAAACGTTTTTTTTCACAATATCTCAAAAACAAAGGCTAGTTGAGCAAAATGATGGTCATTTTTGGAATCAGCGCACCCAAATTCCCGAATTTATACGAATTTGAATGTTTGCATATTGAAAAAAAACGTTTTTTCACAATATCTCAGAAAGGCTAGTTGAGCCAAATGATGGTATTTTTAGAATTAGCGCACCCAAATTCCCCTAGAAAAGTTGTTGGCTCCTTGGTGGCAAACAAAAAATTCCATTTTTTCGACCAGTGAAATTTCATATAAATTCATAGATGTATCTATAAATTTCAAATTTATTTTTTACTATGGTAACTGTCTTGATTTATATTGCTTAATTTATTTTTTGTAGTATAAGCAAAGATTAAAACGAATAGATACACTTAAATAAAACAAGTGCCAAACCCCGCCCACTGTGGTAGGGATTGACTCCGTGTGATTTTTTCTTGTGGGGATACGTCAAGTCGAAAATGTATGGATTTCAAGAGCTCAGGGCTAATAATCTCGTTGAATTAAGGGAGCAAATCTTTAATACATTGGGAGATATTAGTCCTGAAATGCTGTTTAACGTGCGCAGGAATTTTTATGATAGGCTAGGGTATTGTTTAACTGCTGCTGGTGGTCTATTTGAACATTTAATTTAGAAAAAAAGTTATTTTCGTTCTTTTAGAATTATTTTTGTTTGAGAATTTATAGGTTTTATTTTTATCGAATTCGTTTGTTTTGTTTTAATGCATTTCTGCAAATAAAAAACTAAGTATTGTTTAAAATCCATTAAATTCCAGTTAATGGCGAAAATGTATTTCTTAAAAACTATACACATTTCCCTACGACAGCGTCGGAGCTACTGAACAAAGTAGATCAAACTGCATGCCGTTGTATCTGGCTGCATGCCGCGCTGTTGCCATATGCTATTATTGTTTCCTAAAAGGGTTGTTTTTCTTATTTTTTAATATTAAAAGTAAGAAAATTAACTAAATCAAATTATTTTTGACATATTAATTTTTTTGTTATTTTTAAAGTTTCAAACAAATAAAATTGAACTATTTATTAAATTATTATAATCGTTCTCTTCTGATTTAAAACAACCTGGCAACTATGGTTCGTAATTATGAATGGCTTGGTTTAAACCACGCCCAATTAAAGTTTGTTTCTTTTTCTCTGATCAGAATATAATTTGTCATCCTCGTCTCCAGCCTTACTTACTTGATTCTATACAGTCTGTATACTTTTCTAAAGTATATTTAATCTTTGGTATAAGTTCGTTTAAATCAGGTTCCTTTCTGCTAACAATAACAAAAATAATTCGTTTTGTTAAAGAAAATTGTAAACAGACTGTAAGTAATAAACCTTGTTATAGTTACATTATGTATTTTAGATTACGTTTCAATTAGAAAATATAACTTTTCTCATGGCTGGTTTAACTAATACGGGACGGGGCCCTGCGGGGCTCATATAATATAATAACATTTTTTTTGTTTTAGGTCCTTTTCCTACTCCCGGCCAACTTTACACAATGAAGATGCCGTTTCCGGGGCGCGGTTCTCGCTCTCCGTTACATTTTCCCTTATTTCCGCTTAATTGCCAGCGTAGATGGTCGGAAGCGGCCGCTCCTGACGTCGGTGGTGAATCCGGCGATGGTCCTATGCGCAGATGGTCGATGCCGTGGGACTGCGCATGGGTCGAAGGTACCCAGTCTACCCAAAGGTACTTGCCATCGAAGCTGGTGGTGCCGCCTACCGGTACCAATCAGGAGAGGAGCAGGAGTACGACGCCAGGTAAGATAATAATAAATTTTATAAATTTTCAAGTCATTTTATAGTCGTAACCATAATCAAAATTTTAAAATGCATAATTCTTTATCCATAATCCAACCATTATTATCTTTTTCGCATTTATTTCGCGTCGTAAAATTATTTACTAAATCTAATTAATATAGCACCGATTCGTATTCTTAAAACAATAGTATATACAGTAGGATGTCCGTTATTTTCCAAGTTAAATTTTTTCACTTGGGTATTATCTAATTATTTTGTTTTACAAAAGTGAAAAAGCCAACTTGTAAAATTAAAAATAAAAGATAATGGCAATACTTTTAATTTTGATTTATTTCAAATTTTAATCTCCGAATCGGCTTCGATAACATTTAAATGCATGGTTTATAAAAAAAACGTAAAAGACCTTTTTTGTACAGCGTACAATTTTCCTACAAAATATGTCTTGTATAATAATGTTGGATAATACACCAATCTATCATTCGCATTAATATTTGCAAATGCAACTCTCAAACATTCGCGAAGAGAAAGTCTAATAAACCGCCAGCGGTATTTTAATAAAATATTATTAAACCTCAATTAAAATCAATGTGTTTTTTTTTGTAAAACAAAATACGGTATTCTATAAAGAACCTATTCCTGCACCAAATCCCAAAAATATGTGGCTATGTTTTATCCATTTGGGCTTTGAGAAAGCGAGTAAGAGGGCCAACCGCCATACCTGAGCGAGACGTTTCGAAACGTCAAATGTTACGCTCTTTTAAAAATGCTGTAGATTTTGTTTAAATTGCGCGATTTCTTCGACGATACATGGAGCGAGTTGCTGAAGGTATGTATGATAAAATTTTAATACGAGGTTTATGTTATTCATGCATAATGTTTTATAATAGTGACCTTAAAGTGATCTATTCAGAAACTTTTAGTCAACAAAAAAGTAAATGAAAAACATGTTTCAAAAAACGCTGTGTCTAGTCTCACGCTAGCGTGAACGCAATTTTATTCTTATTCTCACGCTAACGTGAACGCAATTTAATTTTTATTCTCACGCTAACGTCAAAATAATTTTAATTTTATTTTCACGTTAACTTCGTAAACATAAATACCTACAGATTAAAGCCTTTTGGTTTTTGGTTAAACCTAAGGCTGCCAACTTTGTCCAGGGGCGGTTTTAGACATCTACTGAGGGGGGGGGGGCGAAAATAGAAAAAGCCCATGTGTAGTGGACATAATTCTGCCAGCATTATTTTATTTAATTTTACTTTTTAGGTGTCGTGTCATTTGATTTGATTATTATTTGATTATGTCATTTGATTTAATTATGTAAATGTAATAAACTTTACTAATAATAAAATTGAGACTCTTTTACTGCAGCCAAACCAACCCAAACTCAACAACACAACCCAACCGACCCCGCCCCATTGCCCCCCCCCTGCCCAATTGAGCAAAAAACCCAACTAAAATGGGCAAAATGAACGATTTTCCAATAGTTAGTTTTAACTCATCATTATTGTTGTTTTTGTCCATGTCAATACATTTTACGTACACTTGTAACAGGGCAGATTTCACAAATCGGCCAAACCGCCTGCCAACTTTTAAAAAACCTCAAAACCGCAAAAATTAGATTCACAGAACAAATTAGATTCTTGAAAGAATCTTAGGTTATGTTACCTTTAGTGACGTCACCGCGTGAGAATAAGAATAAAATTGCGTTCACGCTAGCGTGAGACTAGACACAGCGTTTTAAAAAATGCGCCGCGCCGCTTCGATACAATTTCTCAAAATACAAAGTTAACAAGTTACTTAACATAATATCAAAAATTTGGCTGCGATCACTTACGTTTTTTGTTTTAAGGACGCTTACAAGGTAGGTAAACGTGGATCGTGCTTAGGCGCATTAGCAGCCCAACTTGTATAATAACGACGAGCCTGATGTGGAATATCCGGGTGATGTGGATGTAGTTATAAATGAAGATTATATTTGAAATATTAAATTAAATTAAGTAAATAAATAAAATGTTTTTTTTTATTTTGTAACCTTGAATTTGTATAACTTGACCTCCGAAAACACTAAGACTCATTTTTACGGGTGCAACGTTATTTTTAACAAAAAAAACCGCCATTTTGTGGTAACCATCTTGTTCTTAATCATTTTGACCTTAAATTTGAGGTCCTTGACCCCGAAAATCCCTTACTACTATGTTTTTTTAAACGTGACGTCAGTTTTTTCAAAGTTCGTCCGCCATTTTGTGACGGCCATTTTTTTTTACTATTTTGACCTCAAATTCGAATTCTCGGACCCCAAAAACATAAAGATATTTATTTTCAAATAAATTCGCTCTCTATTTAAATTTTGGCCAGCTTTTACAATGCATTAATGCAATTAAATTGCTATTGCGCAATTGCGGCTATTGTGAAAAATAAAATTTATACAGGGTGTCACCAAATTAGTTGTCATACTTTAAGGGGATGATAGTACACGCTAAAATAAAACAGTTTTTCATTAGTGCCATTCTTTTTAAATAAAAAATCATTAAAATTTTTATATACAGGGTGTCCCGAAATTAGGGGGCCAAACTTAAACAGTGCATTCTTCATAGAAAAGTAACACTTTTTTGTTAAATAAACATGTATAAAAAAATGCCCCCTAACGGAGCTACGGCCCCCTGAATAGGAGCCTAAGAGAATAGTTTTTTTTAAACTATTCCTAGAGCGTTAAACATGAAGAAATGAAATTTTGGCACTTTGGTAATTTTTAGATGCTGAATCAAGATCCAAGATCAAAACTGTTAAAAAATAATCATAGGCGTAACATTTGGGGGGGGAGTTATAAAAATAGCCCCAACTTTTTTCCGAGATAATATTTTAATTTTTTTTTATGAAATTATGAAAACTTATAGTTTTTTACGAAAAATAGGTAGTCTTGATTTGAATCGCTCAGATGCACCATTTTCGAGAAAAATGCATTTATAAATTGCTCTGCATAGCATACACACCTATCATTTTCGTTAAAATTTTGTGTTAAAATTTGGAAAATCGCTCCTTAATAAAAAATAACAAAAATCGAGCCAAAAAATATTAACTAAACTATAAAAATAAATGTAAAGTCAGCAAATAACCCAAACGTCACTTTTGTCCCAAAGCTTTTTAATGAAAATATTAGAAATTATGCTAAGCATAGTAATTTAAATTGCAATTTTCTCGAAAATGGTGCATCTGAGCGATTCAAAGCAAGAGTACCTATTTTTCGTGAAAAACTATACATTTTCATAATTTTATAACAAAACATTAAAATACACACTCTGCAAAAAGTTGGTTCTGTTTTTGTAAATTTGCCCCCTCAAATGTTACGCCTATGATTAAATTTTAACAGTTTTGATTATAGATCCAGATTCAGAATGTCAAAATTACCAAAGTCCCAAAAATTCAGGTCTTCATGTTCAACCCTCTAAGAATAGTTTAAAAAAAATGATGCTCTTAAGCTCCTATTTAGGGGGGCGTAGCTCCGTTAGGGGGCATTTTTTGATATATGTTTATTAAACAAAAAAGTGTTATTTTTCTATAAAGAATGCACTGTTTAAGTTTGGCCCCTTAATTTCGGGACACCCTGTATATAATAAGTAAAGTAGAAATTTTGTGGCGCCACTGGTTGTTCCTGACCTATGACAACTGATCAAAAAATGCTTGCAAAGTGGGCAATAATCGATCTACATTCATTAAAAATTTACATTTGTTTTATTATTGATTACTTTGTTGATAATTGTTTTTTGTTTTGCATATTCTGCTATTTTAAGGTACTATTAAAAAAACAATACTTACTTTTTATTGTTAGTTATCACCAAGTTTCCGTTGTTTTTCCGTCGATTTTAAATTTTACTTTTTAAGTCGGTTGATGCTCATGTAGCTATTTTTTAAGTGTTCCACAAAATCATAATAAATGTTCATCTATCCCGCCGTTATTATCCACACAAAGTTGACAGCGGCGTAGAAAATTATGATGTGTCGCTCTTGCTATTATATCCGGATGAGTTCGGATTTGATCTGCCGCTGCAGTGACAAGTTCGCGGAGTTGTTCTAATGTGTTAACTTTGTTCTGGTACACTAAACTGTTTATGTAGCGCCAGAGAAACCACAATAACAACCGGCGTGTACTACCATCCCCCCAAAGAATGACAATTTATTAGGTGACAACCTGTATTTATGGGAGTATACACTGGGTTTTTCTTTTAGGCCAGGGGTGAAGCAGCTCATGGCTGCAGGCACCTCCGTACCGTTTGATGAGTGATTTTGCATTGTACCGCCGCTTCATAGTGTTTTGAGATGCTCGCATTTTAGGGACCCTATCGGCTGTAGAGTTTATTTGAATCGGGTGTCGTGGCGGCTGAGATATTGCTTGTTATATATATATGGTGAATAATTGCAGGAAAATACAAATATAAAACCTGCTTTAATAATGTTTTAATCTACGATTTAATATGACCAACTCATTTTTAAAAGTTATTATTTTTCCAAAGACCAAGTGCTCGAGCACTATACCGCAAATTCGGTCGCCGGCCCGTCTCCGTCAGCGCAGGGTCCCAGCACACAATGTGTCATCAGTAAAGATGGGATATTTAGGTACTAACAACTGAAAAATATTTAACGAAAAAGGTACTAAAAGAAGCATTTTAGGTTAAAAAAAATCAGCATTTTAGGTAAAAAAACATTAAAAGTTCAAGTTTCGTTTATTTTTATAAAATAAGTAACATACAATATTTTTTTATAAACTGACCAATAGTTAATTAAAGCTATAAGGAACTGAAAATATAACTGGGAATACCTGATATTTACCAAATTTACTACTAGAGTAATAAACAGATAGCTTAAATGTATATAAATTAAATAAAGATGTTTTAACATAACCTCAAAGTCCTTACAATTTTACAGCAAACTCTATAAAATAAGTTTTTTCCGTCAATAGAAAATATCTTATTCTTCCCCTCAATCCAACTGCTGAGTTTATTTGG